ACATCCTCTTGGGGGGGAGGGGGCGCCATTATTAAGGTGACGTTTTGGCTCCATCTACTGATTCCTCTATCTCACTTCTCAATCGGTACAAAACTTGGTTAGGGAAGAAGGGTATTATTTACTAGACCCAAAAATTCTTTCTGAATTCCCTATCATGCCCTACAAAAGGGTTCACATTTTTAAAACATTTCCAGGCAAAAGATTTCATAACCATTATAAAGTCAATGATTTAAAAGAATTTTAGTAAAGGACAATGAAAGATGAAAAGGAAAATTTAACTTCAGTACTAAGATGACTTTTTTCTATTTAAGTCTTACCTGTACAGCAGCCATTTGTGTATGTGGAATATTTGTTACTTCATCAGTACTTTCTGGATTTACTTCCCACTTGTTGGCAGAATTTCCCCAGGGACCTTCATGTCTGGTAGACCCACTGAGGGCTGTGTCGGCACCGTTCACGCTGCACTGTGTCTTTACTGACGCTTCCAAAGGGTCCTGAAGGATCTGTGTTTTAGGGGCAATCTGGTTACCAGGAGGCGCATTCTCAGCCTTCAATTGATGACCCTCAAAATACACAGCAGCACTTTCATCTGGTCTGTCACTGGCTACAAACGATGGCACCACTGGTATTGATCTTTGCAGCTGATATTCAGAAGGGACGCTGGCTAGAGGTGTATAAATGTTAGTGTACTGGGGTAAACTGGGTAACACGTTTATATATGTTGGTGGTGTCTGGGTAATGTCAAATCCCCGAAAGGGAAGGTATGTACAGTATCCTGTGACCAAATGGGGTTGAGTCCAGTAGGTTGGTTTCACATCCTCAGAAGCTGGTTTGGGAGAATTACAGGATACTTGCTTGGGACCGGCATCCTCAGACACTGATGTGGGGGAATCAGAAGAGACCTTCTCGGGCTTCTCATCCTCTGAAACTGATCTAGAATTATCAGCCACTGGTTCCGGCTTCACAGCTTCACAGGTTGGTTGTGGAGAATTAACAGATACAGGTTTGGGATTCATGTCCTCAGAAGTTGGTGCTGAAGATAACTCAGATACTGGTTTGGACTTTACATCTGGTTTAAATTCCCTAGCAGTTGGATTCAGTGGTAGTTTAACTCGTAAATACTCCCCTGGTTTTGAAATTTCTTCCACTTTTGTCTTAATGTTTTTCTTCTTTCTCTTTTTCTTGAGCCGTAATGCAACTTTCTTCAACGCAATACAGTTGTCAATCACAACAAAACGGGGGCATCCCAGGAGAAAAGATTTCAAACCTCCGGCTTTTTCTAGTATCTGTCGAGTTTCTTCTGGGAAGAATTCATATTCTTCAGAGAACATTTTATTACTCATGTCCAAGGGACCATGCTCCTCCAACAACTGAGAGAAATAACTTGGAAAAAATTTATGTTTACATGTTATTACAAGGAAGTATTTATACATTTTCATTTGAAAAAAAGATTTCCCCCAAAATTCTCCCAAAGAAAAACACTATTTCAGTTCCAACTGATCTCAATACCTCTCCAACAAACATATTATACTCATATTAAATCTGACAAAAGCTAAATACAATCAGTGATAGTCTAGAAACAAAATTTTGTTTATCCCTCAGAGAATAATCCTTAAAAGATTGGGGGGAAGAAACAAAAAGGGATTAAGAAGTTATTTCACAGATTTCAATTACATAATTATACAATCTATTTTAAAAGTAATGAAAGAAAATGTATTGAAGAAAAATAACAAGAATGTCAAATGAGAAATCAAATTTTATTAAAATCCTATTGGAATTTACATACAGTAAGTCTCTTAACATTTTTCTGTTTAGGAATATGCAATGATTCAGAGGTACTGGAACTAATCACATCTGATCAATAAACCAACATAAACGAAACAAAACAAAAAATAAAACCAATAGAGTACAGGATCAGACACACAGTAATCTACCTCCAGTCCTAGACTGGGGTGCACTCCAGTTAAGGGGTTATTTTCTTTTCCCATTCTTGTGTCAGGCTCAAAGAGCCTTCCTCTTCCATTAGAATTTGGGATTCTGTCTATAACAATGGCACACCTAGCAGCAGACACATACCATGCAACTTCAAAGAAATAGAGCATCCACATTTTTTCCACTGCCTAAGTAGCAATGAATTTTTCAAACACTGAGGCAGAATAAAATTTAACAAGGGCCCCAAACCCAAAGGGAAAGAGTGCTAAAACCATAGTGTGAATAAAATTTTTATAGTTACTATTATTTGAAATGCAACACAAAAATGAACTTTAACTCTATTCTTCTTTCTAGCCTTGAAAAATCATCTCTGTAAGGTATACACTGGGTCCAAAGTAGCATAAATATGGTATCTTCATAACCAGTGTTTTACAGGGATTAGCATCTGTCCATCAATGCACAGAGCAGCGGCACTGGTATGCCTGCTTAGCAGACATGAAAGAGGCCAAAGCTCGAATGCAAGACGCTAGAGACAACTGAAATGAGAAGGCTGACTCCACTTCTGCCAAGTTAAACAAGATGCATCTCTCTCATCATCGCTCCTGTTCAAAGTCTCAGACTCTAAAAGGAACAGTGTTCCTGCAATTCAGAACCTGAGGCAAAAACGGGACACATGAGACATCAGTTTAAAAAAGAAAAAAAAGGCTAATTATACAAGAGAGATGAATAGTTCTTGTGTTGTTATGTTACACAGGCAAGCACGTGTTTATTTGTGTACATATTTTCACACTTGGATGATGACCATCAGTGTCTGAAATGGTCATGGCTGGCCTTCCATAGTGCCTTTACATGTCACTGCCAGCACAGAAGCAAGGGACAGGATGAAGAAAACATTTCGGAAAGCATGCCCACCCTAGCAGGCTGGCGGCGGTCCTTTGACAAATCACTGTTTTATACAAGCTCATGATTCTTACTTCACAAAGTCATTGTCTACAATACACAGTGATCAGACCAATGACGCAGCTCTCCTGCTACTTGTAAGCTGCACAAAAGGACTGTGTATTCTACTCTGTCTGCAATCTTCCACAGTGCTTTACCCTAAATGGTTAATAAGTCATGGTGGAATAATTAATATCATGAAAGAGGTGGTAGGAAGAGTTAATGCAGAATGTTACCCACTGAAATACAATTCCCTTCAACTCTCTAAAATCATAAAATGTTAGAACTGGAAGGGGGTCAAGTCAATTACATACCAATCAGTCTAATCCCCACCTTCACAGTGGAATACCTGAGTCAGGATAAAGTTAAAAGCAGTTATCCCAATATTCTGGATTCCCTGTCTAACATTTTTTTCTACTCTACACTCTTGTCATATACAAAATTTTAGTTTTATTTTTCTTTCTTTTACCCACTGGCCACTAAAAGAAATCATTCTTTCTTTTAAAGTTTTTATTCATTTATTCATTTAAGTAATCTCTACACCCAACATGAGGCTTGAACTCACAACCCTGAGATCAAGAGCTGCACACTCCTCCGACTGAACCAGCCAGGTGCCCCTAAAAGAAACCGTTCTTAGGCTCATCATCATATGTCTACTTTGAAAATTCAGAGAAAGAAATGTTTTGAGGTGTAACTTCCTGTAAGTTTTTGACTTTAAAGTTTTATCTCAAAATACATCAGCCTATTTTCTTCCTCATAAAGTTATTTAATTTCCTCCCACTTATAACAGTAATAAATTCTTTAAGAAGCAAGGTCCTGACAATGACACAGTTTAGCTTCAGTTCTGGATGCTTGAAGCAAAGTCTGCCATATTTTAAGAAATACCAGTGTTGTTTTATAGCTGCTTCCATGGGGTCAGCCAGGAGTTCTCTGGAAATATGATTTGCTCAGCATTTCAACTCTAAAGAAAAACCATGAAGAGGGACCCAGGAGCATAACCAGACTGAAGAGGAAAGAAGCAACTGAGGAAAGCAGAAGCAAGGACTAAATTATGGATGACTAACAGTTTTCTGTAAGAATAACTAGGTCTTAAGCTAATTTCCTACTGCAGATCTTAGCCCTCAGTTTCTCTTAAGGAATGTAGCATGTACTACTTAATAATACCAAACACAAAATGGTAACTGTTTCCTAGATTTTCCTGAACACTTCACTCCATTATTTTATCTACCCTACTCAGACTTGATTTCATATTCACATTCTTTTTTTAAAAAATTTTTTAATGTTTTATTTATTTCTGAGAGAGAGAGAGAGAGAGAGAGACAGACAGACAGACAGAATCTGAAAAAGGCTCCAGGCTCTGAGCTAGCCTTCAGCACAGAGCCTGTCGCTGGGCTCGAACCCATGAACCATGAGATCATGACCTGAGCCAAAGTCGGACCTTAACCAACTGAGCCACCCAGGTGCCCCTCATATCCACATTTTCAATTCCAAAGTTAACAGCCAAAGTTACTTAAAAAGAAAAGTCTGTTTCTCTTTTATTACGTCAATGTCAAGAAGTCAAGTCTCCAATACAATACAGAGATACATGGTCCCATTATCTTCACTATCATTCCAGCAGGAGTAATGATGGGATCCTGGTATCCTTATGACCCAATAAAAGGAAAATACTTCAACAAACTACATTGCTGGTCACTGGACTTATGAGATGCTAAACAACCGCATCGGTCAACAAAAGAACAATGAGATCAAATGATCAAACGACTCCTTGTCAAATGTAGAACTCCCCCCTTATCCACAAGAGAGATTTCTATGACCCCTGGGGATGCCTGAAACCACGGACAGGACTGAGCCCTATGTGTACTGTTCTCTCCTACACATATACACCTATGATAAAGTTTTAAGTTATAAATTAGGTGCAATAAGAAATCAACAGCAATAACTAAAAATAGAACAGTTACGATAATAAACTGTAATAAAAGTTACGTGAATGTGGTCTCTCTCTCTCTCTCTCTAAATCTTAGTGCACTGTCCTCAGCCTTCTTGTGAGGACGGGGGATGACAAAATGCCTCTGAGATGAGATGAAGTGAGGTGAGTGATGCAGGCACCGTGACGTAACATTAGGCCACTACTGGCCTTCTGACAACATGTCAGGAGGACCATCTGCTTCCAGACTGTGGCTGACCGCAGGTAAGTGAAACCTCAGAAAGCAAAGCCAAGGACAAGGGAGGAGTACTGTATACCCTGGAATCCGTGATAAACGCTTATGGCTGGAAACTTTTCCAGTTCTATCAGCACATACCAGGGTCAGGCTTAGAGACAAAGTATCTATATTAGCAGCTCAAACTGCCAAAACCAATAATCATTAGTATTCTGAATTTATTTATTTTATTTACTTTATTTAACTTATCTATGTATTTATTTATTTATAAATCTATCTATCTATCTATCTATCTATCTATCTATCTATCTATCTATCAATCAAAGGTCCTGGCTGCCCTCAAGAACCAGAATCTGGCCAGACCACTGTGGTCTTTTTGTTTTTTAAATGTTTATTTATTTATTTTGAGAGGGAACGAGAGAGGGAGGGAGGGGGAGAGAGAGAGAGGGAGAAGGAGAAGGAGAGGGGAAGAGAGAGAGAGAGAGAGAATGAGATGGGGTGCACAGGGGAGGGGCAGAGAGAGAATCCTAGACAGGCTCTGCACTCAGTGTAGAGCCCGATGTAGGGCCCCCACCATCTCAAGAATCGTGAGATCATGATCTGAGCTGAAACCAAGAGTTGGATGCTCAACCGACAGAGCCACCCAGGAGCTCCAAGATTCTAAATTTAAAACTAAAAACACTCAGTTAACTTTGTGTACTACACGACAAAAGCTGTAAAAAATACTTATCTTCCCTACTCTGTGAGCCAATAAATGACTCCTTTAATAAGCACAAGGGGGGTGCCTGGGTGGCTCAGTCGGTTGAACATCCAACTTCGGCTCAGTTCATGATCTCTCAGTTTGTGGGTTTGAGCCCTGCATCAGCCTCCATGCTGACAGCTCAGAGCCTGGAGCCTCCTTCGGATTCTGTGTATCCCTTTCTCTCTGCCCCTCCCCCGCTAGCACTCTGTCGGTCTCTCGAAAATAAACAAACATTAAAAAAAATTTTTTTTAACTATAAAAACAATAAGCACATGGGACACAAATTAAACAATGTGCAATCTTAACTGGAAGCTTCAGTATGAAATAATATTTGTATAAATGTGTAACTACTTACTCATACAGAGTTGAACATTTTTGTTTTGGGTTAATATCCCACAGTTTCTTATTACGGACAACATATTCACTACTGTGCTGTTCATACATAGCTTCAAATTCTTCTACATCTTGCCGAAGGTGGTCAGGTACCACAAATGGACCTGCAGAATTTGGATTGCGTTTGCTGATAAAAGAAAAAAAAACAATTTTGTGAATCCTAAACTTTGAGGTGACCCAGAATATTTAAATTAAAACAAAAATAGTAACATATGACTCAGCTTTACAATGCAAAAAAACACTACCAGAAAATTAAATGCAGAAAAGTTACCCTCCCACAATTATAAATCTGTAGCCTCCAAGTAAGCACTTTTAATTAACTACTTATTCTTGCTTCCAAAGAAATTTTTTGAAACTTGTGGTTTTAAAAGTATCAATGTTACATTAATTTTAACTTGTTAAAGATTCTATTATAACTGTTATTAATTTAAGTTAAAGTGAGATTGGAACCAGTAAGACACTTAACAAAAAGATTCTTTTTCTAAAGTATAAGATTCTAGCATTCTAAAAAGATGTAGCAGTTTGTGAGTTCGAAAACAAGACGACCAGGTTTAATTCCTGGCTCAGATATGCACAAGCTTCCGGTTCTTGGGCACATCACTCAACTACACTGTGCATGAGTCACCCTATCTGTAAAATGCACATGCTAACAGTACTTACCTCCCAGGGTGAAGAATAGTTTCAATGAGTTTGTACATGTTAAAGCCCACAGAATAGTACCTGGTACGTAAGTGCTATCTAAGTATGGGCTATTACTATTTTAACTTAAAATAATTCCTCCATTTAAAGAATCCATGAAAATGTGCAAAAGCAGCTCTTAGGACAACTCCTTTAAGGAACGTGAAAAAAAAATTATGGGTTTCTGGTTCATAAAGGAATATGACAAAAAGGCCTTTACTACTCACTACTTTTATTTCTTAAGTCTGTTTCCTGAAAACTCTGTTTCAACAACTAGATGCCACCGAAAATCACTCACATCTAAGGTTACACCACAACATCACATATGGCTTCCAAAACATCTTCCTCTCAATTATAGCAAGTATGCCAGAAATTATTAATAGGACATCCTCTTCACTGAACATTTTAAAGATGATTTCCTAGGACTTTCCCATAGTATCTTGCACATAGTAAGTTCCCAAACTTACATTCTAACGAATGTCATTAGCCCAATGATTTTAATGTAGTCTGCGGGCATTCTTAGCGCTGACAAGCCGTATTATAAAACCAACCAAGGGGGATTACACTAGGCTGTCATAACAGATGCACAGATTTAGACAGTGAAGTTAGGGAAATAAAACAAGTTTAAATTATGTTAAATTAATACCACTTGGTAAGTTAATACAATTGAATTAAAATCTGAAGCACACATTTTTAATTGTACTTACCTGTGGTCTTCAACTGAAGTGACAGTCTCATTATTTGGTGTTACTGAAGCTGTTCCGGACCCCACTAACATAGGCTAGTTTAAAAGACACAAAAATGAAAATGATTTTCTACCTTAAAATTCCATGAAAAATATTAGCATTAAAACAGATGAATGCTTATATAAATATGCATGCAAACTGGCGATATATAAGACTTATCTAAATTTTCTTGTGAACAGGAACACAAAAGTAATGAAAGTTTCAACAGCCACAAATAGGCCCAAATTAACATTCAGGTGGCTTCCAATGCTCCAAAAAACCTCAAATGTCAAAGATAAAAAGCCAAGTTTTAGCAGAACTTACAAACAGCTGCTCTCATCCTCCCTAGTATCCGTTCACTGTCTCAACGGCTGCCCTCCTTCCTGAGCACACACGTATATGACAGCCATGAAGAACCCACCAGAAGATAAATAACACCCTATTTATCTCATGCGCATGAAGCAAATCTTTACATTAAGTCCTAAGAAAAGTCTTTTGATACAAAGTACTTCAAAATATCCCCAAGAACTGGCTAATTTTAATTTATACATTCAATTATTTTAGACAAAAATTAATACAAAATGTACTCCATACCTTTGAATCTTTTGGCTTCTTTTTCTTGCCTTTATTTTTCATCTTGGCAGAATTAAACTGGAAAAATGGGGGAAAAAAACAATGAACACTCAAATAATAGTGTGATGAAGCTCCGTATAAAGATAATCATACTGGTTTTAGCCACAAGTTGAATATACACAAAGTGCTGAACAAAAATAACACTTCATATGTTAGCCCTAGTGTTATGATTTATAATACAAAATAAGAGAAAGCCTAATGATGACTGATGTTATAATGAAAAGTGCTTCAAAAAATGTTTAATGTTTTATTTCTGAGAGAGAAGGGGAGAAAGTGTGTGTGTGCATATGCAAAGGAGGGGCAGAGAAAGGAAAAGACACAGAATCCCAAGCAGGCTCTGTACTGTCAGCCCAGAACCCTATGTAGGGCTTGATCTCATGAACCATGAGATCATAACCTGAGCTGAAATCAAGAATCGGATGCTTAACTGACTGAACCACCCCTTGCTCCAACATTTTAAACTCATTTATAGTAAGATTTATGTTATTTCAAGTAATTAATCAGTCTTTTAGAGTAATTTCAATTATATGCTACTGCCATTTCAATGACAGTCCTTTTCTTAAGGTAAATTAGACACTACCCCTGGCCAACTCTAGGGCACAGTGGACTTCAAAGACATTTAACTTCCCACTGGGTGTGTTAGCTGTGTTTCCACACTTAGCTGGGCAGAACTTCACAAGCAGATTAAGAAAAAGTTTCAAGGACAGATGACCTGATCCTAAATATCAGGAAACAAGCATCTTTCTCTTTGAAAACTGCTACAACCTACTAAGAAAAGCAACTCTGGAATTATTTTAATTTAAACTCAGTTTGGAGCCATTCAAAACAAAGTCTCTTTGTTTTCCTTACAGAGCAAAACACTGGAATTTTAATCATTACAGATGGCTTTTCATTTTTGTGCTAGGAGTTGACTCAACTCCTTCCCTATTTCTGAGATTAACAATTATTAGTTGCAAAACTTTATGGACAGTGTCTAATTTAAGCTTCTAGACATTGCTGATTGCTGACTGTCACTCTAATTCCAAGAGGAAGACTGACCTTAACATTCTATAAATGAGTATACGTTAGCCAGAAATCCTCCATATTTGGTTCTACAATGCCATCTGTGATGTAAATAAACACTGGCCTGGGGACTCCTCTCTTCCTTGGGCTAATCCAAATTGACACATGACATTTAAAGCAATCAGATAACTTACCGGCACATCACCGCTGTCTTGTTTCCTTAACACAGTACAGCGGCTGTCTGTAGGAAAATACCGATAATTTGTGAGAAAATGAAAATTTTACACTGACAACACACTAAAGCCTTAAAGAAAATCACCCGAGATACTACTATCATCAGCGACGTTCTGCTCCTTATTTGGCTTTGACATCAGTTTAGTTTAGAAACCAAGGGCAAATGGCCCATTAAATGGTAACCAACTACAAAGAACCACAAAATGTCAGTGAATCCAGTTCAGCAAAATTTGAGTGCTTTCTAGATGTCAAAATCTGTGCTAGGTGCTGCAAATACAAAGATGCAGAGGATAATCCCTGTCAAAGATAAGCTTGTATTCTATAGCTTATGTTCTGCAAAATACCCGAACAGGCAAATACATGTAACCCAGTGTGTCAAGTGCCTCAATAAATAACAATGGAAACAAAGCTGATGGAATAATACAGTTTTCAAGGACAAAGTCCCGATGATAGGCCAGGGAGGACTCAGAGGGAGATGTAATATAAAACTGAGACTTGATATAAATAAGCAAAGGGCTAGGATGTGGCTGGAGGCAATGCAGGAGCAAAGACATGAGGCAGGAAAGTACGATGCAGACATCGCCTCCTCTGCAGGGCAATGTTTTCTTAAATGTTACACATTAAACCCTTTACTAATAAATTCTGCCCACTTAATACGCAACCTTTGCCATGAAACTGTTAAAGTACCTAAGATGAGAACAGTATGGTATGCAGTCAGGGTAACATACCCATTTAAGTATCTCTACAACACTTGGTTCAACAGAGTAAAAAGATTCTATGACATTAAAAAAAAAAAAAAAAAATCACTATTCTTAATCACTAACTGGCCCACATAAGCTGGCTGTACCAAGATTCCCACTATTTTTTTAAGTATTAAATAAGCTGGGTCCTTCACAGATATTTTCCTCCCTGAGATCAGATATAATATAAACGGAAACTCAGTGCACATACCCATTATATCAAAGAACTCATCTAAAGCATTATGCAGCACTGGGAACTTGTCTCTGTGCTCCTCCAGCAGCCATATTAAACATCGTGCTTCCTTCAACGACGTTGGCTCATAGAAATAATCAAGTTGCTTTCCTTCTATAGAGGCTAGTTTATGACCATATTTCTCATTCCAGAGAAAAGTCATGATGCTAAAATCAAGCTCCTTAAGAGATGCTCCATAACGAGAAAAAAAAGGTCCTGTGGCATCTAAACCTGTAATAAAAACAAAATCTAAATCAGAAAAGGGGAAACTCATTTACAGTAAAATCACATCCAGTCTTACATCTCTGAAAGCAGTTCAATTAGAGTTTGCTTATATTTTCAGTGAAAAACACATATTTGAACATAAACTTGTTCAAGCTATTTTGCATTTTAGGAAGACCACTTAACACTGATAAACTAATGACAATCATTCTTACCTATTAGTTGAATAAGGTGGGCCAAAGGCTTCTTACATAATAGCTGATATATTTTAAGCTTATAAGGTTATTTTTATTAGACTTAGGCAATAAAAGCAAGGCATTAAATTCCTTTAAAAATATAACAACTTTTCACTAATTCAAAATGATATTCATTCTAATTAGTACAAGCTAGCAAGATTTTAGTGCTTTTCTATATATCTTCCATAGTAATAAAACACCAATAATATGCAAAAGCTTCCCAAATGCCTTTAAAACAGAAAATGGGTAAACCCCGCCCCCCAACACCTCCATTAATGGCTCTCCCTATCCTCCTCCAAAATGAGGATGGTCACTATTCTCACTGTTATTCTACTTTCTAACTGATTAGAGAAAGAGGTGGCTGTAAACTCATACTGGTACTGAAGGGATGGTGAGCCCTAACCTTACTAATAGCCACCAAAAGACAAAGGCTGGTGCTGTTCTGTCTTCCCACATGCCTCTAATACAGCACGGTCACCTCTTGTGTTGGCCAGGGTTTATCAGTTGGCAAATGAAGCAGACTGCTGGGTCAAAATTACCTTGGATGGCTGTTTCTTCCAGATGTAAACAGTTACCTTGCAGAGATCATGATGCATGAAAAACATGCTCATTGAACAGAAGGCAAGAGATCTCTTCTAGTATTAAAATGTTAATCTCTTCCCATATTTCATATCATCACCTGACCTCTCATGCTAAATATGGACATGATGTGACTCCACGGTATAGACTTTTATTGAGAAGGAAGTAAAATTCCAGGAATTGGAAATTACTTGCCTTAAATAAATATGAGCTTTACATTAGGGCTATAGGACACAGCCTTACTTTAATTAACATGCTTGAAGTCATTTAAATAGAAAACTGCAACTTTAAATAACATGCATGCATACTTATCAAAATGATACTTTAATCTTCAGAATAAATGTGAATTATATCAAAAGGCCACATTAACATTTCCATCAGTGAGCCCTAAGGCTCAAATGCTATAGTTTACCTAAAAGAATAGCAGCAGGTACTCTTGCCCAGGTGGGCATAACCAGAAAGCCTATTTCTCCTGAGTCTATCTTCCAAAGCAGATTAGAGTGAGAATAACATTATAATATATTATTAACAGATGCTAATGACAACCTGATCACTTAATTGTAATTTTCTGGGACCAGAAAGCCATTCAGACCTATGCTCAAGACAGCAACACTTAGCTATCAATAATGTCGAGCTTGCTTCCATCTTACTTTGTTCCCACTGACAGAAATTTATCAATATACTCTCTGACTCTAGCATTCTAACAGCTCCATGTCCCTAACAACTCCAGCAGGTCGGGGTGACTTGCAAAGGCCTGGCAGGCTCACTCTTTGGACTGCTCCACTGTGGCTCCTGCTGGCCTATCCCACTGCCAACTGAATCATCCACCGTTGGAGGCCAGCTGCCATCACGGTCACCAAGGTAAACAGCGCCCTGGTAGGGACCCAGAGAAATCTCAATCCAGTGTTAGGCACAACTCTATCTGCAGTTGCTTTCTGTGGTCCCCTCATGGTCTGGAGTTGTTCAGGGGGCAGGAGAGGGTCTTCCTTGACCAAGTTAGGAAAATCAGGAACAATACCAGAGTTTTATAATCCTGATCCAACCTCAGAAAAGTTTTCTCATAATCTTTAGATATGGATTTGCCTTCAGTGACCCTAAGCAATTAGTTGCATCCATCTTCTAAGTTTTCTAAAGAATCTGTCTACACAACTGCACAATCCCAGAGGGCACTGGGACAGCTGCCTGGGGCAGGGGAGAGAGTTGCTATTTACCCATGTGTGTGCCTGGTATTCACTTAGTTTACACATTTACAGGTAGTTTAGCAAAACACAGGACTGGATTTTCTAACTGACTGAACGTTCTTGTTTATACCTTCTGAAAAAGCAACTTATCTATAACTGTAACCTATCCATAAAATAACCTAAATTGTGAGTTGGAAGGAAACAGTACTTTTAGCCATACCAGTCTGTGGTCCTACATTTTAAAAACTGATACAAGATAGGGAAACAAGAGGGTTCAGAGGCCGCGATCCTGCTAGTAAGCGGCAGCTCTGGAGTTCAGTGCCATACCGAAGCTGTTCAGTTTCTGGATCCAGGCAGCTAATTTTGGCTCCACTTCTTTAAGCTCGCTCAAAACATGCAGAAATATCCTGGTCTTTACTCTATTCTTCTCTTGAATCAAGTGATGAATGACATAGTCCACTGCTTCATTTAGAAAATTTCTGCTAGAAAAACAGGTTGTGTAGTCTTCTGTGCTTAAAACCTTCCAAGAAAGCAATTCTTTGAGAAGCTTGGAAGTGTTCAGAATACCAGATTTGATCTTGTCAGCATACTGCTTTATGCACTGCAGAATTCTGTCATCAAGGAACTGGCAACTCTGAACTTTGTCTATAGTGTCTAAGGATAAAGCAAAGCGGTCAGTTAAAGTGAGCTACTGGGCCAATTTGCAAAGACAGAAACTGAGAAAGAAATAATATAACATTACATAAGAACACAGAGTACAGTTCAGAGGGATTCTTCATGTTTTAAATAAACTCAGCATATTTTAAATTTGGAAAATAATTACCTAACAATATGTTTGAAAACAAAGCTCACATTAAACCAACCATATCAAAAGTGAAGTATCTTCTCTCTTTCACTCTGTACCACTCTTGTAACTCAGTTCCTCCAAAATAGGGTTACTTTCCTCAACAGTTCTAACCTAGCCTCATCAACATTTATCTCTAATAACTATGCTTAATCACTAAGAATGCAAAGAGTTTTTTCTGGAGTTGAAGGGATCATTTATTCATGAATTCAATTAATATTTGGTAGTTATTGTTATGTTTTTCATCTTATTACTGGATCCCAAACCACAGGATCCCATGGAGGTGATTCCAGGCTGGAAAATTACTCAGAAGCTCATCTTCCCGACCCAGGTATCTCCCTTACAGATGGCCATTTAGCCTCTTGAAGCACGCAAAGTTAAAACACAAACATTCACCAAAGACTTTTACAGCAAGAAAGATAATTTTGATGACTGGTGAAACATTAAACAACAAGAGGAAATATTTCATTTTGGGAACAGCCAGCACAGGAGAAAACGAGAAAGAATCACTTCCTCCAGCTGAAAACTGGATGCCGTCCTGGGGGTGTAATGTACAGCACAGTGACTACAGTCGTTACGACTGTACTAACATTTGAAAGTAGTTACCAGAAGAGTGGATCTTGAAAGTTCTGGTCATGAGAAAAAAATTTCTGTAACTATGTATGGCGATGGAAGTTAACTGGTCTGTGGTGATCATTCTGCAATATATACAAATATGCAACATATACATCATATTGTACACCTAAAACTAGTATAATGTTATGTCATTTATTCCTCAATTAAAAAAAAAATAAGAAAAAATCTGGGGAGGGGGGCGCGCCTGGGTGGCTCAGTTGGTTAAGCTTCTGATGCTTGGTTTTGGCTCAGGTCATAATATCACAGTTTTGTGAGTTTGAGCCTCACATCGGGTTTTACATTACAGCACAGAGCCTGCTTGGAATTCTCTTTCTGTCCCTCCCCTACTCGCGCTGTCTCTGTCTCTCTCAAAGTAAATAAATCAACTTAAAAACATCTGTTTAAAAAGAGGGATGCCTGGGTGGCTTAGTCGGTTAAGCGTCCGACTTTCGCTTAGGTCATGATCTCGCGGTTCGTGGGTTCGAGCCCCGCGTCGGGCTCTGTGCTGACTGCCAGCTCCGAGCCTGGAGCCTGTTTCAGAGTCTGTATCTCCCTCTCTCTGACCCTCCCCTGCTCATGCTGTCTCTCTCTTTCTCTCTCTCCTAGAAATAAATACAAATATTAAAAAAAAAAAAAAAAAGAAAAAATCTGAAAATAAATATGCTCACAGCAACAGTATCATAACTGAGACATTCCCAAGTAAATCAGGGAATAATGACAAAATGAACGTAAAACAGAAGACTGGGTTAGGTAATCTCTACCGCATCTTTTATGAACGGTTTATTTGAACTCAACATTATTTCAGATAATAGTAGCTAATTCATTCAACGTTTTGGAACCTAAGTCTGCTCGGTGGAGTTCAGAGCACTGCCAAACATACAATATGCATGTCAACTATTATGTCCACCGTCACTTCGGAGATGACACGGACACAGATTTTACCCCATGTTAGTATACTGCTACCCCTGTGTACTGCTTCCAAATTCAGTGCTCTTTACACCAACCTCTCCCCGTCTCAGAGCAACAAAAGAGAGTGAGGGTATTAACGTATTAACTGTACTCTAAATTTCAATTCAGTAACAATTAACACAATGCCCAATAAGACGGACATACTAAGCAAGAATACATTACTCTCTTCATGCCTTGGACTTTAGCATACCTTTTTGCTCTTCAGTTTTGGGTGGATTACTTTCCCTTAAGTCCTCTTCCATTTTTTCTTGTGCTATTTTTTTTGCTTCTTTTTTTTGGAGCTTTCTCTTCAATTTTTTGTCTTCTTTCAGTCTTAGCTTCTCTAGGCTGATAAGCATTTACAATTAGCAGTAATTCTCCTTTGTTATAAACTCAATTAACTATCTTCCTTTGCCTATTACAGAAACCATTCTCCAAGCAGTAAATTAGAAGTTATCCTTTTAATTTAGAATTTGGCCTGTATCTTCTGTTCAATACCAAAAACTGGTGACACATGTTCAGTTAAAATTGGGGTACTTGCGTCATGAAAAAAAGAATACGATGACCAAGTGATTTATAATTAAGGTTGGCATATATAGGTTATACAAATGTTACTACTATGTATGTATGTTACTACTTAGGGTAAACAGAAATAGTAAAAAGTACTCTGCAAGAGAATGCATATGTACACTTATTTCAAAGAAAGATCTCATAGTAAAATATTATTTTCACATCCTAATGATAGCCCACAACATTGGAATTTGGTTGATATGGTTTACAATGAATTCTCTTCAACAAAGAATTCTGTTTTTCTTTTGCTTTTTCTTGGTTGCAAATGATGAAAAAAATCACTTATTAGAATGGAAAGCAGGACCAAAAAGAAAAAAAGGATTGGAATTATTTGATCTAAACAACATTATATACAGAAGTGAATAAACTGATAGTATTCTGACAGTATATTGATTTTTTTAAGGTGAGAAACAGTCATTGGTTCAAAAATATTTCCTGAAGAGAGGTAAAAAAGAAAAATGCTCTTGGAATTAAAGTTTAACTGAGAGCTAAGTGTATAATTTTTATCTAAATGCCAAATGTAATCAAACATCATAATTTTACTTAAAAATTCAAATAATACTTCTTATTGAAGCTTTTGATATTTAACCATTCTAGGCTAGTTCTCTTTTCAAGTTTTAAATATCCGTAAGATTCTTTTAAACACCACTAGTTTGGGTATGTGTAGATAGCCAATTTAAAGAACATCGTAATTTAGAAATCTGCATTTAATAGAATTACATTCTAATAGACATTAAACTGTCAATCGATTGTTAGAAATCTTACCTAGAACATTTCTGTTTCAGAATAGGTCTTGGAGGAACCTTTTCTTTTATGACCTTGTGTTCAAACTTTAAATAAAACAAAGACATCCAAAATTTGTCTCATACTCCCATGACATAAAGCACAAAACCACAAGCAACAAGCATTTCAGAAGCACACACCATGTTCAATTCGATAGAGAACAGTGATGTTCTGACCCAGACAAAAGCCCAGAAAATTTTAGCAAAACAATTTACTGAAAAGAGGAACAAAAGAGTAGACACACTTTAGGAAGCTTAAAAAAAAACTCTTCCCCCTCCCTAAGAACCCCACCCTCGTTAATGCCCAAAAGTTTACTGGGGATTAAGGAAACAAGATTATCTAAAAGAGTACAAACTATAAAACCAAAATGTAAAAAGTCTCCTCTTTTAGGAAATTAAAAAATGTGAGCATGCGTCATTGCAAAGGTATATTCTCACATCCTAACATTTCCCATATTTTCTTAAATTAAATAACTTTTTTTCCTAGAAAATACAAGACTACAGAACTTCTACAAACTTAAATCCTATTTTAAAAGGTATAAACATTTTGGTTAACTATCTGGTAATATTTCTCCTTTATCAGATACTTACTTCACATTTAACTTGACCACCACTGCTGAAAATGATAATCTTAGAAATGATTCCTTCACAGTCAGGGGTAAGACAAATTCCTTGCAGAAAATCCTATTTGATTAAAAAAACAAGTGCTGTATATCCCTGCATAAATCTATATATGCATACCATTTTAACTATCAGGAATAGTCAAGATACTGTTTGAAACTTCCTTTAGGGAGGCACTGGAAGACCCTGCCCATTGTCTTCTGACTTTCGGAGCCTCCCTTATACAAGGAATATATCTCCAGCTATAGGGGTGACCACATGACTTGCTTTGGAAAATGCAAGGAAAGCTGACATAACATACACTATGTTCATGCAAAAGCTTTAAAAAAAAACATGGAATAGACCCAGGATGCCTGGATGGCTCAGTCAGTTAAGCATCCAACTTCGGCTCAGGTCATGATCTCGTGATCTGTGAGTTCAAGCCCTGTGTCGGGCTCTGTGCTGACAGCTCAGAGCCTGGAGCCTGCTTCAGATTCTGTGTCTCCCTCTCTCTCGCTGCCCCTCTCCCCTTCATATGCATGCGTTCTCTCTCACTCTCTCTCTCAAAAATAAATATTTAAAATTAAAAAAAAATACACAGAAAAGAATTTATATTCACTTAAAACTTTTTCTGAAGGTTCTCAGGGAAAAAAATCAACATACAATAAACATACTAAAAGTTCCAAAGTATTTCGTGAACTTACCTTATCAATTTTATCATTAAAAGTTGTTGTTTTCAATTTCTTCCAACAGTTCATGTGAAATTCTATTTTACAGTATTGGCAGCAGCTGATTCGTATAAAACCCTATGGGTTTAAGACAATTTTTAATATACGTTTTAAAGATGTCTACACATACACACTCTCCCTCACAATCACAACACACATATTAAGATAAAAGAGAGAGCTGTCTGCATTCCCCTGGCAAACATAACTACACATTACATTCTCTCCTAGGAAAGTACAATCTTTCAATAACCCAAAATGCCTAGTGCTAGAGACAGACAACTTGACTGACACATTAATCTCCACAGCATATAACTGCATTGTCCTTTATAATACCAAATATCTTATAAACAGTATTCATCTGATCTACTAACCAGGAACCATGGGCAGATACTGTCTTCAATAAAGGAAGGCCAAGTAACCCTAAGTGCCAGACCTGGTTTCAGATTTAGGTCTCTAGGAGCTAATTCTGTGATCACAATGGCCCTTAGATTCTTAGACTCAAATTTTAAAGGAAATGAGAACTGCAACAAATCAGAGGTAACAATCTCATTTTCTTCCCTGTGCTTCTAAAGAACATGAACAGTAGCTAGAAAGGGGAAACAGAATCAGCCAGCCTGCCTTCTCCGGTCACTCCGTGCCCTCAGTGTTTTATGTAGTGGCTCTGGGTCCCCACATGAGATGACGCAGACCTAGGAAGTCCAGGGGACGGGGTACACACAAGAGGACCTAAAACTGCTGACAGGCCAGAGAACTTGGGTCCCTCCAATTACAGAACTTGTTTTGAGTCCATTTTAAGGCCTAATTCTGCAAGTTACTGTCCTATTGCATGTCCGTTATGTACCTTAAAGTCTGGATCAGTTATATAGATCTGGATTTTGGAATATCCATGGCACTTCTGATAGCAACAAATGGCATCTGGCACTGGAGGGAACTTGCATTCTTCAATAAATTTCTCTAACAGCATCTAAAACAGAAATAAATAATATTATCACCACACTGATTTGTCACTGAAACTCCTTATGATTTCAATAACCTCTTGCCATCAAAATATTTTCAGCCTAGGAAGGACTAAATGATTTTTAGTGAAGAATAAACTACAGATAACTTTTAAAGTTTTTCCTTTCAGAAGGAGGCTGAAACATACCGAGAGATAAAGTTAGAAAAAAAGGACTGACAAAAAGTTTCAGAATTTCAATGTCAGAATCAAAATCTTATCCTGTGTGTACTCATCAAGGCTCATTTTACAAGGTACAGCTCTTCAAGTGTCCTTCAGGCATTCAGAGGGGGTTAGAGGAGGCAGAATAGCCCTGAGGAACCTAGCCTTGTCCTTGGGTAGGCACATCACCCGGGATCCTATCACCCTCAAGCATCTTGTGCATTCCCTGGAGAATTTCCCCACTGCCACTGACACCCCCAGCAGACCTGGGCCACGCTTCCAGGGCTTTCTGTTATAATAGCTCCTCTGTCTCCATCCCAATTTAC